GTCTAAATATAGGTAAAGAATATCAGCTCGAATGAAACGCAGCAAAACATTTAGATCATTTACGCTCTCTAGGCAAATATTTCAAAACACGCAGTAAATATTCCATAGGACGATTAAAGAACCGCGACTAAATAAGAATAAAGAACGCAGGATAACGCTTTCTTCTCAATCTTTTGTTCTAATGTGAATTTGATTATTTACACTACTTGTAACAAATATAAATATATTAACTTTAAACTTGCTTCAACTTACTCTTCATCTTTTTCTTATTCTTAAAACTAGAAAAAGATAAAGAGTTGTGAGCACTGGTTCTGTCACTCACAAATTGATTAAAGATATGTGTTTAACATAATTATAAAAGCAGATTAAATCCCCTATACGTTCTATTGTATTATTAAGTAAAATTAGTCCCTACTCTGATTAATTTAATTTGAAAATTTAAGGTACAAGTTGATAAAACAATGAAATATCTAATTTAATTAGTAAAATTGATTACTAAATTATATACTCATTATCTCCTGGTATTGGATCTAAAAACGTTAATTTCAGAAAAATCAAATTAAAAGTTAATAGTCTATTGATAAAACTAATTTAACTAAATTAAATTAAAAAGTTAAGAGTCTACAATGAAACTAAGTTAAATTAAAATTACTTAATTTTACAATCTTTTAGCTTAATTTTTAACTTTTTAACTTAACCCTGAGTAAAATATATATGTTATAATTAAAAATATTTGAATTTCATTTTTATATTCATTTTTACATTCAAATTAAATCAATATACAATAACTTTAATACAATTAGTGCGCTCTAGTGCGAATTTGCTATTAAATTAATATATATTAGAGGCTGCTTTATATAAAGTATCTAAATGTAATAGCATAATATAATTAATTTTAACAATAAAATAATGCATGTATATTCTGTTAAATAACGTAATAATATCATTACTGGGTATTTAATTGTTTAAGATGTTTAAAATCCGATTGCACCAACATTACTTTGAACATGATTTTAAGTGAGGCTTAAAACTCTCTCCTTGTCTTTTTCTCTTGACTTTAAAAAAGAGAAAAAGAGAATTTTAAGTTTTACTTAACGCAAGTATAGCAAAATATAACAAAGTAACGTTGGTGTAATCAGACCTAAATACTTTTACATTTAACTTCATCGTGCTAATTTCACGAACAGCAGTTTTCAGTATAGTGCAAGTGACCGAATTCGTTATTAAATACACACACAGACAAACACGCCTCACGCTTCCACCTTCCGTCAAGAACATTCACTTTGCTTTTATTCATACGACCCATTGACATCGACTATCAAAACAGCTATTATCCACTACGTGTATCGGCGAATCGTCAGCTCGTATATACACTTTCAAGCATAACCACGATGAAAGACCGACGCGTCCATTGCGATTTGCCACTTTGTCGAATATTTCTTTTTTTCCAAATCCTATCATCACATCGCAAAAATGCGTCAAACCATCAACTCATCGGTATTCGTGAAAGAGTAACGTGGCGATCGTATTATAAACGTTGTCGCTTGGAAAAGGAAAAAATGAGGTGAGGACAGATGAGGTTTCGAAAAAAAAAAAACGGAAAAGTCGCGACGGCAATCGTGCCTAACGGTCCGCTGCGAGCTTTGGGTTCCACGTTGTCATCGTTGTCCTCGCGCGGACGTCAATATCGCTATTGTGGTGACATTCACGAGAGGAGACGTATAGCACGCACAAAGCTTGCAGCGCAACATTGCTGCAACGTTGCTAAAACGAACGATCTGTGCTGTACGTATAATATGATCAGCCCGGTGTCACATGCTCCGAGAATCGGCTCGCGATCCCGATGACACGCACCGCGCGCGTTTACTTACACACGCCGTTTACTGAGTAGGAGAGAAACGGAATAGAAAGAACGAAGTACAGCATGCATACACGAAAGGCTATAGCGACGACAGTGGTGCCGAACACGTTTATCCCGTACATTTACTGTGCAGATGCACGTACATGTACTGTACATTCGCGCGGCCGTACACATCGATAGCGTGTCGTGCGGACACCTATGTACGCGCGGGTAAGACGTGTCATGAACGAACAAGAGCGAGAGAGAGAGAGAGAAAGAGGGAGCAGGAGGGAGGAGGGACAGACAAAGAAGAGAGAGAAAAAGAGGGGGAGACGCAGGAAGGAGGCACCCGTGGTCCACGCACCCCGTGTCGACGAACGTTTTTGAAGGAGCACTGGCCGTGTGTCACCGCTGACCGAAGCGTCCACGATGGTGCACGATAACCGCTGCGAGTATATATATGTATACCGCGAGTAGGCACCGGGTAAATCACAGCGACAAGACGGGATAAACCGGCAGCGGTTATAGCAGCAAATCCACGTATTAGCATACACACATACACACACACACACACACACATATACACATGCAGCGCGCACACGCACACACACACGCACACACACACGCACACACACATACATACACGATGCGCGAAAGATGAACGTAACGCACGTACGTTACACACGGCGTCGTATTGCCCACCGGCGGCAACGACGATTACGACGGTGGGTGGGAAGGAAGGAATAAATTTGACGAGCAGGAAGGAGGGAAAAAAAACGAAGCAACACGGAATGATACGCACGTTTTGATGTTGATCGCACTGACACGAGTCACACGAGCGCACAGATCCGTAAACGCGATCCGGTGTGTACGGTACGGAGTTGCGCGCCGATCGCGCCAGCGAAAAACCACACCACCGAGTACCGACACAGCGGCGCACACACGAAGAGAGAGAGAGAGAGAGAGAGAGAGAGAGAGAGAGAGAGAGAGCGCGAGAGCGAGAGAGAGAGAGAGTAGCGAGAGCGCGCCGGAACGGAACGGAACGCCGTGGCGCGACGCGGCGCGATCCACCTCTACTCCCCTTGTCCCCTTGGCCCTTCGTGCGATTATCGCGCGGGCGCACAATATAATATTCACTTGCGTTTTCCCGATCTGACAACGGGATCTCGTCACCGCACTATCACCGAGACGCCAATCGTTGTCGACGATGATCACACGATGAAGGAAGGCACGAAAGGTGCGTGGACCGATCGTCGTCGGCCCTGATCACTCGGCATAGAAATGGATTATGGAACAGCAGAAAAGATACACACACACAACCGCAAATGCAACAACAGATTTTCATGCACCTACCGCAACGAAACCCTATCGCCACGAACGATTTTACGATTTTCAGCCCCAAAATCGTCGGGGCATCAACCAAATCAGTATTTCAACAATGGTGGCCATCCATACAGCGAGCCAGACCGTCTTGCGCCGGCCTGACATCTAGCGGTGGCGGCACGAATCATGTTTTTGTTTTTCAAGCAAGCCGACGCGTCGCGACTCGAGAGCCTGAAAAGGTAAAATCACTAGATTTCTTAAGTATGTACTGCAAATGATTTCAGATATGTCGCGTCAAAATGATCGAAGTGCACATAGCATGATTTCAAGCATGGTGGTTGGTGATTCATTTTTAAACTGTCCCTTCGTACACTTTCATGTATTAAATTCCTCTGCAACAAATAAACTTGTATTAAATTAAATACATAAATTAAGCATTTATATGTTTTTGTTGGTCATAAATAAATTAATTACAATTAAAAAACATTTATTTACGTACTTGACATCTTTATTTTCCAAAATAAAGTACGTATACAGAAATACGTATACATAAATTAAAAATGGCCACGTTTCGCGTCAAAATGGATGCGAGTTTGCGATATTTTAGAAATCTAGTGACTTACTCCAAGGGAGAATGACAAATTGCGTCCAATCAGGACGGGGGGACCAATTTTCTTCCATGCCTATGGAGCTTTGATGCCCGCATCCAATCAAAAGAGACGAGTTACATGATGCAGTTCGCCACTCTCTCCCTTTAAATAGAATCCTATAGCCCGTATCAATCATGAAACTTTATCTCTAGAATGGAAAGTGAAAAGTAAAAAATTTCTCCATTAATTTCAATAGTAAATTTTCACTTTTCATCCTAGGGATAAAGTTTCATGAATGATACCCAGATTGCGCTTACAATGATGTCAGCTAACATGCTATAATTTACGTTACGCATACTATAGAATTTTAGAGACAAAAGCACGTTCTGAAATATTATTGGGTCATCTAAAAAGTATCCGCGGTACTTTGTCACTAGATATATGACCATCAACACACATCTAGTGACAAAAAACCGCGGATATTTTTTAGATGACCCAATATTATTTTTAGATTGAAAGACATAGAGATACGCTCCATGCAATTCCTATAAATGAATAAAAATGCATTCAGAATTGAAAAGCATTCATTTTAACATTCGTGAATCAATATTTCTGAAAATCTGAATCCATTTCAATTCATTTCAATCCATTCTCGTTTGCTGGGCAATGAGCTCTTTCATTTGATTGATATATTCCATTAGATTCTAAAATATGGACCACATTTGATTGGTATATTCCATTAGATTCTAAAATATATCAATCAGATGAGAGATCACTAAGCAGCTCAGTGAGTGATTGTTGTTCTAAATGAATACACCCAAAATGCGCAAGAGCTGGCAAGAACACACCTTTGTTTCTTCCACCATGACTAGAACTATGATGCGCGGCATTTCGTCTCGGAAACTGTGGCTTTTTCGTTTCCTGTGACGTCGAAATTCATCGATTGTTAATCTGGTGGACGTATTCTAAAAAAAATTTATAAAGGATGATAGGATTTCTATCAATTCGCATCGTTTTCTATAAGTTTACATAATTTTCTATCTTTTCTATCGATGACCTCGCGAGCCTCACGATTGATCGGATATGAATTCTATCATATTGTACAATATTTTATTGGGTTATACATATATATATATATATATATAATTCACGAACCAGATTTCATATTTAAAATGATAGGATTTTTCTATTTATATTTATGTAAATAGAATATTTGCTCGTTCTCTATCAACTTTTTTTTTATCAGGGCCGTCCTCCATCGTCTGCTGCGAACGCGATGGCTCGCAATTTCACGGTTGGTTGCGATTGCGCTAGTCAGTAGTGTCAGTACTGTCAGTAGTTGATGCTGTGCAGTGCTGTGTATGCGGGCATTGCTGATTGTGAGGCGCGAATGCGAGCACTGTGAGCAGTGTGAGCCTCGTTTACTGTTCCAGGGAAATAGATAAGATGAAGGAGGAACGGGAAAAAAGAGAGAAATGAGTGCTCAACCAACCCAGTACGACTTCTGATCGCGCAATGTGCTCGACGCATCGTCGCCGTTACGGGGATGGAGGCCGAGGTTCGAGTGTCCACATTCGATCGAGTCTCGCGCCTCAGCGGTTTGTTATTTCGGCGGGTGAATGACGTGTTGACGCGTTCGATCTGGCCGCAAGTTCGCGATCCGAGTCTCGTGAATACACCAGTGGTCAGCTAAGCTAATAAATTAATGCGCGTTGATTCGATCGCTCTTAACTGACCGAGATGGACCGCCTGGACACAGAGATCAGGAGACATGGTAGTGTTTCGGGTGTCAAGTCAATTAGACTAATGTGAAACGTGAAGACGAGGACACCCGAGGTTTGATAAATTTGATTAAGCGACCGTGATGTTGAATGAAAAACGACGCGATTGCTCGATGTAGCTCACGAAGGAAAAAAGAGGAAAAGCGTCGGCGGAGAGAACGTGCAGATCCGCATGAAGTAGCCGACTCGATTCTAGTCATCTGTTCTAGTCCAAATGTCCAAATGCCAAAAGTATCACTCGTCAATACCCCAAGTGTGATATATCAACTTGCAGTATATCATCATTGGACATCCTCCCACATGACTGAACGTTCGAATCAGGGAGTAGAACTGACATTAAAAAGCATATTATAGTTCATGGATACTTACAGGATACGTTGTAATACGTTACGCAATTGATCCCGCAGAATTTAGATATTATTATTTGATAATTAAGTGCAAACGACACATACTTGACATATGCTTGAATACTATTAAGATGTGAAACATTTTGTATATTGGATGTACTTCACTTTGTATGGCTACAAATGGAAATGATTACATGTAAATTGTATAATTTTCTATTCGTTAAGAGCTTATCCATAATTTGAAATATAGAAAGAATATTTTTGAGAGTTTTTCTATGATATATTTCAATGCATCCTGCGACTATGATAGAAGAATTTTTTTTAACTATAATTAGAGATGTATAAAAAATTGGTGTAATTCAACGAGTGATTACGGAGAGGGATAATATAAAAGGATATAATCGGTAATCTCGTGTTAAATGCTGCGAGTATTATGGATCAGAGTGAGGGAAATAACGTCTCTAGCGTTTCAAATAAGGCAGAGGTTTCTCCAAAATCAAAACAGAAGAAAAAGTCCCTCTGTCGCATGCTTATGAACAAAAAGACTAAGGTCGGCTGCTTGGAGTCCTCCTACAAAGACGGGGATTCAAATAGGAACTCCAAGATAGAAAGCTCGCAACATGGATCTCAAACTAGCACCAAACTGTCCCTGTGCTGTGCTATGACCGAACGTAGCAGAACACCACCCCAGAGCTTAACCATTAGCAGACTTTCCCCGATGACGTTGAGTCATACCTCGGTCAAGTCCGAGGTAGCTTCCATCAATGTGGATCATGAAACGGACGTACTAGTTGAGCAGGAAGAGATGCATGTTGCAAATGATCAAGCCAAGGATCAGGCTCAAGCAATTCAAGAGACTGTAGTCAGAAGGAGTAATGTAGCAATAGGAAAGGAACAGCGTCCTACAACTTATATAGAAGGTAAGTTTTACAAATGTATCACAGCATTTGAATATTATTGATTTAGATATGAAATTTGTGTACTACACGATAAAAAATATTTTATATTTATGTTGAAAACGGTCCACTCAAATCCTTGTTAAAATTTTGACACATGTGATTAAGTTGAAATATTTTGTGTTAAATCGATATTTAACATTTCTTAGTGTCAAAATAACACAATTTACGAGTAAGTAACGAATTAGTTTACGAGTAAGAACGAAACATAAAATTGTTTTAAAATGTAAATTTTAATATAAATTACATGTTAATTTAACATATCATACATGTTAATTTTATTGAAAAAAACATATTTTCTATAGTTTGCTTACAAATTGTATCACTATTATTTTTTTGTGTTAATTTTTTTATGTAATATATTTCTAACTATATTTATCTCGTATTAAATTAACATAAAAAGTGGTCATTTGAATGGACTGTTCGGGGCATGTGAAATGTGTTAAATTTAACACAAATTTTCTAACTGTGTACACAGTAAAAACCATTCTGTACTTGTATTAAAATCGGCTGTTGTTAAAATTTTTGTGTTGTATTTTTAATATACCTGAATATTGATTTGACATAATGTGATTGTGTTATTGAATATTTTACGTTATTTTGATGTTTGACACTTTTCTTAGTGTTAAAGTCATCATTTTTGAGTAAGTAAACAAATAACATAAACATAATACAGTTTTAAAACGTACATTCTAAGTCTATAATATAGTCTATAATTTAAAATGTATTTTAAATTAAAGTTTTATTCTAATGAATAAAAGATGGATGTATGGGTTAATTTAACACATTATAACTATTAATTTTACTGAAGAAAGATATTTTCACAATTTTTTTTTTCAAATTGTGTGAAAGTGTTAATTGTTACATTTTTTTGTGTTAATTTTTGACACAATATCTGTGTTGCATTATCTTGTGTTAAATTAACACAAAAATTTGGGTGAATCGTTTGGGACACATCAAGTATGTTAAAGAACTTCGTCCATTTTGCCACACATAATTATCAATTATGTATCATTTTATAGATAAACAATATAGAAAAATTAAATAGTTTTAGATCCTCAAATCTCTTCCAAATGCAATTCTAATCTTTCAAAAATGTCATCCTATTTGATAGTTCATCATCAGAGTTATTGAGAAATATTTCACTAACATTCTTCTCGGAAAGTATTTTTCAGCAAGATATTTGAGATATATAATACATCCTAGATGCCTAATGAATGACACCATGTGGGCAACTAAACTCTAAGTTCAGTAATGTGGGTAGAGCAACTTATAGTGCGGATACTATTCTTTCATATACTGTCACTGTTCTAGACACAGAAATCTTGTGAAATAAAGAATGGATAAAACAGGATCTAGAAGTATTTTTAACTATGTAATAAAAGATCATCGATTAAAGTATATCACAAGTAAAAATAGTAATATTAATATATCCCACACATATGATGAGATTCTAACATTAATCTGTTAATATTAGCTGGTTTAACTATTGGTATTTATGTAGTTTTAATTTACTCTATACTTTATAATTTGATGTATAATTCATCTTTATATAAATGGCCTAAGTATGCACACACACACACCATATATATATATATATATATGGACGAAGTTTTTTTACACAAATTTAAACAATTATTTAAGAAGGTCCCATTATGGCAAGCAAGTAGATCAGCATTAATGAAATAGTAAACATTCAGAATAATGTTAATTTATTCTACAATAATGTGGAGGGAAAAGAGAAAAAAAAATCTTTAGTTACTTCATATCTAATTTCAACTAAATGACACTCCTATCTTCCTATGCGCATTTTGCAATGTGATTTGATGATGCTCAGACCTTGAATATCCCCTCCATCTTTTACATTCTAAAGCGTGTATTCACTACAAGGCATAGATAATGCTTCCAGTTGACGTGGAGTTAGTAAAGTTTATCTTTGAGAGATACGTGCATGTGTTTTTCTTGATCAATGAGAGTATGAGTAATCTACCGAAAATGTCGAACAAAAAGAGAAGGAAAAGTTTCCTTAACAAGTTACGTTGCATATTTAAGAAGAAAGACGAGTTAGAAGAACAGTCAGATTTCCATAATAAGCAGAAAAAAATATTTGACGATAGGCAAACTGATGATATGGGAGGTGCATCTTGTAGTTCTGATGAAAAAATTGCAAAAGCTGTTGGCAGTGAAATTTGTGTAGCAGTTTCAAGAAATAATTTGTCTGGAAAAGAAACGCATATTGATAAGAATTTATTAGAAAATAGTAAAAACGTAGATATTATAAAAAGTGAAAGTTTCAGGTTTCCTAATGTAGATGATGACATAAATGAAAAGAATCATCAGAACGTTACAAAAAATAAGCAGCTGGATTATAAAGTAGGATCGGACAGACATATGAATACAAAAATTACTTTTCTAAATCAAGATAACGATACAATAAATTCTCGTTATCCAAAGTTATCTCTAGGAGATACTGGAAAAGTGCATCACGATAATGGAACGAAAAGTTACAATTCTGACTCTAAACAAGCAATATTACAATCTCTTAACAATACTAATACTACGAGCGGTGCGCGTAAATTTTTAGTAAAGGAAACAAAGGCGATTTCTCAAGAGAGTAGTGAAGATAGTGACTTCTCTGCAGACTCAATGGAAGATTCGTTCGAAGATTCTTCAGAAGATGAAAATGAACATCTGATTGAGTCTGAGAAAGCTCAAAAATACTTTAAGGATGAGTACTTTACAAAGGGAAAATATATCACTTATTTCTTCCTGGAAATGGAACGGCAGTTATACAATCCTACAGATGTTTACAGTATGGTTCAGTATCGTAATACTGATCGCGAAAAACCAGAGAAAAAAGGTACAAAATGATATACGAAATTTATACGGTGCTTAAAATGTATAATTCTTTCTGTTTTTGCTAGTATTTTACATTTTGTTCTTACAAACTATTGAATTTTTTTCTTCAAAGTTTTTTCTTCAGCATTTTAAAAAATTATTAAATTGGCAACATGCATTCTGCATACTTTAGTTCTATTAAGAAATCATACAATTATTTTATGTCTGGATTAGATTAGAAACAATACATTTAACGCTGTGATGTTGTTCGTACGCAGCTATAATTGTTTGTATGTTACGTATCTCTATCTTTTACTAATTAACTTAGATTATTAGAAAATATGTGTGAATACTTATATATTTTATAGGATGACTGTATGTAGATTTTATATAGTTGTTTAAGTTAAATATAGGCTACTACTTATATTAGATTTAGAACAAGTACAGTACTACTTAAAGCCAATTTAATAAATTGCTTGATTTAAATTCAAATAACAATTGGTGCTGTTCTTTTTCCAAATATATTAATCAAATAATTAAATGGTTTTACTGATGTACATAAACAAATGTTTAATTTCAAAATACGAATTCAAGATATTTATATCTAATCAAATGATAACAAATCTTATCTAATTTCATCGTATTACGAATCTGCACGTTTAGTGCCAAGACTGCAGTAGGCGGCAATTGAAACAATTTAGTTTCATTACAACGGAATGCTATAATCTGTTATGAAACTAATTTTTAGGCACGAAGTGTATTTGCTCCATCAATATATATTATATATTCTGTGGTGTATATTTTTTGCTTTCAAAATGTAATGGATGATTCTTTCTTTTGCGCAATTACAACGCACAATTTCCATTAATAGAATCTCACGCGTAACGTATAATTTTAAACTGTTTCAGGTGAATATTCTTCCTCCGGATCGCTATCGCCGAGTATATCAGGACAATTACGTCGTAGATTGCTTCATAGGAGATCAGCAGATAACTTGATTGTAGACTCACCTACAAGCTCTATGAGACATTCTAGTCCAGATTCTATTAAAAGTGCACCGATCCAGCATAAGCCACGTTCAACGTCCCATGATGCGCTGTCTAAAAAGAATCGTTACTTTCGTCAAACGACAGGGGCGTCTATGGATAGTTTGGCAAAGCAATCATTACTTGCTGCACAAGTACTTAATTTAATTCCTACTCAGAAAGCACGGGAAAGGTATATTTTTTTTTCAGAAAATTATCTGAAATGATCATTATTCGATGGCTAAAAACAATTGAATTTTGTAGGAATTTTCTTCATGGAAGAATCGCCGCCAATTCCTTACTCGGACCAGTGGAACTTGAGAAAGTATTGCCTAATCGAGAATTAAAAATTTTTATCGGCACATGGAACATGAATGGTCAGACTCCGCCAAAGGAATTGAACGATTTTATGTTGCCATCCGACATAGAGACTGTTCCCGATTTGTTAGCTATAGGAACACAAGAGTCATGTTCCGAACGACATGAGTGGGAGGCAGCTCTGCAAGAAACTGTCGGTCCTTCGCACGTGCTACTAACTAGCAGTAATCTCGGTACACTTCACCTCGCATTATTTATAAGACGAGACTTGATTTGGTTTTGTTCTATTCCGGAGGAGGATAACTTTTCAACGAGAACTGGAACAGCATTCAGAACGAAAGGCGCAGTGGCTATTGCTCTTATGATATTTGGCACTAGCTTTCTCTTTGTTACCGCTCATTTGACCGCACATCAAGACAAGGTAAAAGAACGGGTCAACGATATAAAGAGAATCGTCAGAAATCTTGATCTACCTAAAGAGCTACCTATCCGGCACAAAAGCAAAGGTATTAATGTCAAACGTTAAAGCTTTAATAGTTTTACGTTTTATACATTGTATGTAATAAATATATATTTTATTTTTTATAGATGTAACTCAAAATTTCGATTGCGTGTTTTGGTGCGGTGATTTAAACTTCCGTCTAGCTCAACCGAGAGAGGAAGTGATTCAATGGATTACAAATACATGTTTTCCACAAGAATCACCGATAAACATGCGCAAAGATCAGTTGAAAAATATCCTAAACGAAGGCGCAGTGTTGCGCGGTTTCGAAGAAGCTCCAATTATGTTCCCTCCCACTTACAAATACGATCCGGGAACGCAGAATTTCGATTCTAGCAGCAAGCAACGCACTCCCGCGTATACTGACAGGATTCTTTTCAGAGGAAAAGGTCACACTAGAGGATATATTAGACGCGTTAGTCACGAGATTTCTAGTTCTAAGGACGGGGTTATAGAATGCTTGATATACGATTCTGTTCCAAGTATGTGCACGTCGGATCACAAGCCAGTCTGGGGAGTCTTTAAAACTACATTGAGGCCGGGTATCGATACGTACGTGTCTGTTATTTATTGACGTTTGAAGAGATGATGGTCATATAGCTTGAATCCTTTTGTATGTGTATTAGATGCAATATATATATATATTCTGTTATTTATTTTTAGAATTCCGCTCGGTGCTGGACTTTTCAATCGCGAAGTATATCTGGAAGGTATTAGAAGGCGCGCGGCGGCGATGGATGATTCTCTTGAAACTTCAAAAGTTTGTTCAATTCAATAAAGAAATTAGAAGCTATTGTGAGAATGTATCAGCAGAATGGGTAATGTATTTATAGATAAAGATTTGTTTTTTTATTATAACAGGCAGTATGAAAGAATGATCGCTTTGTACCATTCTTACAATAGATGTCACGTTTCTTTTGTACGATTTATGTACTCTGTACGCTAAGTCTGTCCATTTTTATAGCGGTGACAAGAAATACTTTTTTAGTAAGATTTGTATAATAAATTACAATTACGAATGAACACCGTAAAAGTCTAGTCAACCAGTGAAATAAATTACTCATTTAATGAAATGAAATCTAGATGAGGATTTTAGATGTATCGTTGATATATTCCTGACATTCATATTGTGCCACAGACATTAGAGAGGTAAAATATTATTTGGCTTTATGTGGCCAAAAAAAATTACAAAAAAATTACATTCATTTTATGACACTGCTAGTTTAGTTAGATAAATTTTTTATAATAATTCTGTATTGCAGTATTTATCAAAATGTAACTAACATCTCAGACGTTAAAAAAATTACATAGTGATGAAAAATAATTTTATAAATATTAAAATATATATTTATGTAATTTACTGCTACTAATGGAATAATGATAACAATTTATAGGTCAAATTTCGTATAAAATGAGTTTTCTAGTTTTTATGTTCAATTAATTTAGATGTAATACGAATTGTAGACCAAACTGTTGGGCCAATAAGATATTAGAGCAGGTTTCTTAAACTTTTTTGTGAATCGCGACCCACTTCGTAGAATAGCAAACTCCACGATCCATCTAGTTTTAGTGGGTATGGAAAAGCAGGGGGGAGGGAGGGGGATAAGAATTAATTAATTTATACTTAATTTTAATTTTGCTCTTTTTTAATTTTTTGTTAAATATACTTTTATTAATATATTTTTTAAATGTATGAGATGTACGTGAAATATGCTTGTTTCCTATATCTATTAATAATAATGTTGATACAAATTATTTTCAAATCAAAGAAGTTGACAATTATAATTTATTTTGTAATTTGTAGTTTTAATTTTTGCCAATCGTTAAAAAGTCAATTTCACACATACGAAATGAAAGGGAGCAGCACTCTTAATATAATGAAATGTAATTTAACATTCTAAAATTTTTCACGATTCATCAAAAATCGATTTACGATTCATCAATGGAACGCGATCCACATTTTGGGGATCCCTATATTAGATAATATTCACAAAATTTAAATAATTTGTTTATTAATTCTTTATATTCTTATTTACTGGGACCATTCCTTATATAAAGTCTTAAAAAAAGATTCAAAACAGTAGAATATCTTTCCCTCAACGTTTTATATATACAGAATCTTAATAGCTATACCAACGCGTAGTCTCTTATGTTCCTTCCAATTGTAGTCGAAAATTCATCTCACATAATAAAATGTTGATATAGTTATTAAGATTCACATCGCATTATATACACAAGATGCCCTAGACTTTGCATGATATCCATTAATAACAATCTTGAGATTATTTTGATAAAAAAATCCTAACATCAAAATGTCGAGGCTACAGATAGTTTTTAAATGAAAAGGATTTCATATTAACCAATTAAATTGTTCGAAATTTGCGTGCTCAGACATGGCACATACCGTACCGTAATGAAGTTGTTTAGAAGAATAGAAGAGAATAAAATTAATGCTTGAAAACACCAAAATTGCTAAGTTTATTCAAAATTTATCTTTCATGTTGCGATTTTCTAAATATTTTACTTTTTTTAAGTTTTTTTTTTTGTATTTTCCTTTCTAAAAGTTACGGAAATCCTCTTAAACATTTGTACTCCCCAAAAATCTCCCGATATAATAAAGAAACTTCCAAATCTGGTAGAATTGTAGAAATTCTATTAAATTGGCAATACTAATCTTCACTATTGTGCAATATGCTATGCATAAGCACAGAATTTTGGACAATTCAATTGGCTAACTTTAAACCTTTCTTATTTAAAAACTATTGTAACCTCCACATTTTGGTATTAGAATTTTCATCTTGAAATGATTTCAGAAATCTATTATTGACAGAAGTCGCGAAGGTGTTTGGCACCTCATATATATATATATATATATATATATATATATATATATATATATATAGTAACTACGTTAGTAACTAATTGCTAAATAGCATAGTCGTGTTAAATAGTGTTGTGTTATCGATTTTAAATAGTCTATAGCGTTAAAAGATAATGCTCTTTGATAATGAGTGACCCTATTTCTAACTTATTGTAGATAATAATGACAAATTATGACTAATTATAAAACCCCAAACACAATATTGTTACAGAATAATAATATATGCACAAATAAGGTGGCTAAACTAGTATTAGATCTAACGTTTGCTATATCAGAAATATGTGATGTGAATCGCATTATATAATAAGTAATTAACTATATGACTCCTATTTACATTATTTATTTAGTTAAAAGTATTAAAATTATTACACAATTTCTTAAGTACAAATATACATATTTTTCAATTCAATTATGATGTTATTATGTATCTTATTGCTTTGTCTTTATGATAAATTTATTTTGTTGTTACTTTTTGTTTATTTTATATTTCACATTATTCTTAAAAATCTTATATCTAAGATTCTAATACATGAAATAGGCCCAGCATGTCATATATCTAAGGAATGCTGTATGTTCCTCTCTTCTCTCTAATATATTAACTGAAGAAAAGAACAGTAACAAAGATTACTGTTTGATAAAAGAAGCAATTAACGCAAATTAACAAAATAACGTAATGTTTATATGTTGAGATGAACAATATGAACTATAAACAAATTATATATAAATATTAAATTCCACAATATTTAGAATGTGTTTAATACGCTTAAAAAGTTCCACTAAATATATTATAGAACATATATAAATGTTTAATAGAAAAAAAGTGCTTAGACCTAATTAAAACATAAAGTATTAAAAAAAGACAAATATACGATGTACTACATGTTAGGCAATAAGTTTAGGTGATATTAAATTGTAAGTATTTTAAAAAAAAGATGTGATTTAATGATATCGCTTTTATTATCAAACATAATGTATTCAATTACGAAAATTTCAAAGTTGGAACATAATTCTGGAGTACTCGCACTCCAAACAAATAATCAAAAGATTAATCTTAAATTGGAAAAATATTACTACATATGTCTTGATGGAGGCATTTCGTGTCATGCGTCAAATGCATACTTTAGTGACTTGTGATGACTTCTTTGTAATTGCGTAGACAGGTTGCCAAACAAGGTGCCTAAAAACATCTTTTAGTATTTCTAAGCCTTCTATAATGAAGCGAGACTAAAAACTGTCGGGGTCAAGATCTTTAAGTCTACTGAGCAGGTTGCCTTAATCATGCCTTACTTAAATCGTTATATACGTAATTACCCTTGATCTCTGTGCACGTATTTTCTTAAAATTATATTTCATTCGGATTTTCGTTTTAGTTAGAAAAAAAAGAAACAATGCTATACAATAAGTAATCTATGTTGTAATTTCTTCTGTAGTGATATTTAAATAAAAATTCCTGGAGAGTAAGCATATTTTAATAATTTGGCTTGTAACATGTTGATTATCTTATCTAAATCGCATCAATCAGAGAAGCAGCGAAAGAGTATTACAATTAAGTTTTCACATGAGATGTAGAAATCACAACATAGGTTATTGCCTGTTGTATTGCCTGTTGTATTGTTTGTTGTAAAAGATGTAAATTTAATTCAATAAGTGTTTATTAAGTAAGAATCATTTAATACATGCACAGCAATTTTTTGAGGATATTTTTGTAGTGCATGATCTGAATCGTGATGCAAGTAGACAAGGTGTGTTCTTGCGCATATTTATTTGTTGTAGTCAATCAGAACTTGATCTTTTTTTCAGTGGATTTTGTTTCAATACACTTGCTATGACAGATATGATTTTAACATATTGTAGAGCATGTTAAAATATAAAATTTATAACATACCATGTTTCATATTGATATTATTCATATGGACTTGAATTTCTATCCATATTTTTCTGTATATCTCATCTTTGAGAAATGAAACAAAACTTATTGATTTATATTTTGTTAATGGATTACTGCGACTTTTGTAACCTTTCACATAACACGTCGGTATTACTATTTATTACCTATTGTTCACTTATTATTATTATTTATTTCACTTATTTATTACCACTTATTACTTATTTATTTGTATTAATTTCAAATTGTATGATATATGTTTAAAACGACTGAAAATAGAGTCAGCGCGTTGCTATGCGTCTTAGTTATGAGCATATCTTATCTACTTGTATTATGAATTTAAATAACGCTACCTGCCCCTTTTTCAGTTATCTTCGTACTCTTGTACTGTGATACATTTTCAAACATACAGGGTCAAGTAGTTGAATCTGACAATTTTTTTCACGCTTGTTATAAAGGAATGACAAGATCTAAAAGAAATAATCTTTTAATATTGTCATTTATTTATATGAATTAAATATTTGTACATCTAAATACTAGCAGTTTTTCATAAAAATTGTTCATTATTTCTAGACTTTAACATTAATTTAATTTTAGGAACTTGTTGTTATTTTTAATTTGAACGTTTATTTGAAAAATATTTTAAGATTTATTTGAGCATCTTTTGTTTGCGGTAACTTCATTTATATGGATATAAAGAAATAGATAAAAATTGAAATTAGGATATATTAGACTTATTTTGAAAACATTCAAAAAATTATGAAAAAAATACAGATTGTTCTTATATTGCATTTGAAAATAGTAGAAAAAATTTAGCGGCGATTTTCTACACGGATAAATTATTTCAATAATAATAATACTTTAAATATATATGATTTATAATATAATATATACTTTCATTGCGATGCAGAGATTAGTTGTTCTGTAAAAAAATAAAATTATTTTATTTATTTATTCATTTACCAAACAACCAAACGGAATTACAATGAAATTTGTATAAATTATCTTGAATACTTAAAATACGTACATAAAAAATTGAGGTTTTTATTAATGTTGTAAAAAATAATTTAATTGTTAATAACAAATAAACTAAATAAATTATAAAAATATTAGGTGTTGGAATTAATTCGTAGCGTTTTACAAGTGATGGGAAGTACTTTCATTAATGTATTTTTTAATGCTCATGTGAAATAAATAACATTCTTTCATTAAAAACGCTACGAATTAATTCCAACACCTAATATGTTATGAGATAAAAATATAATCTTATTTACACACAACATTCATATTATATAGTTAATTTGAAGTGTAAATATTAAACACATTTCCAAATTTAATTTACTTTGCAGAAACTGTATGACCAATTAAGGCATATTAAACGTGACAATTACAAAATTATTTCTAGAACTAGACTTATAAATAAACATTGAAGAATTATTCTTATTGAGGGTTTACGAAATTCCCATTCCATCTAACATTCTTTCATTCAAGTCTCTCTATATCAACCTTTTATAAAATCGAGGATCAAAATCGAATTTAGGACACGACTACGAACCGCTTTCATATAGAATTACATTCCTTTGAAAGATCATTCCTTCATACACAACTAATAAGGAATAAATGCCTTTAATGATCAAACTGGATTTTAAATGCTTCAATAATTCAATACTTATGTAGTCATATAAATTGCGCACCGAATTGATTTTTCAATTTTGAAACGCATCATTCCTTCATATTTTATTTGTTGCTTTAAATCCTATAATTTTTTTACAAGCTTGAAAAGATTGTCAGATCCTATCGTTGAATCCTATACAGAAAAAACAGTTTTGCTAAAACATCTGAAAATTCAACTCTTTCATCTCTGATAGAAAAAATTCTTATAACATTTTATGTGAAGAATTCTAAAAAAAATTTTCCCCTGAATTTTCTCCTTTCAGATCTGAAAATAATTTTATTAAGCTATCAAAATAAACGTTCAAGCGTTATAATGATAACGCAAAAAATTTAAGATTCTAGCAATCAGTTTGAGTAGCACCGTTCAAGCCGAGAAGCAACAGAAGCAGTGCAGTGCACCCGGGTAGCTACCTTGCAAAGATTGTCGACATGTCTTTAAAAAATAATCGTACAATTATGTATATGTATGCGTGTGTGTGATTTTTATATTGATTACAGCCGTGGTGTAGAATTCATTTGAATTTAATGAAGGTTGATTCGGATTGTCTGAATAGAAAAAGTGGCGGCTGGACGCTCTGCATTCGGGCGCAACAATTCTTTGGAACAGCGCTAAGTTTGAGCATTTTACATAATTATTTTGATGATCCAATAAAATTATTCAAATCTATATATATATATATCAATAGTTAAAGTTTTAGATATTCTAGCAAAACCATTATTTCTGTGTAGTGATATCTTGTTAGCGGAAAACTGCATATGTATGTGCGTACATGCTAATTAATAATCGCAGATTAAAAGCGCACAAATGACACGATCCAAAAATCATCAGCGCAAGGTATATAAACTTTTTTTTTTATCAAATGCGCTGTATATGAAGAAATACACGCCTATGCGGCTGAGATGAATTCTCATGACGCTCGCCAAAATGATGAACGGTAGAAATTCTATTTGAATGTACTCAACTATTGTTCTGTATGTGCTTGTACGTTTAAATAAACAATTCAAAATCCATCACCGTCGAAATATTCATCTACAACTCTTACTCAAATCTATCTCTACTCCCCAGCGTGTATCGAAGGATTAAAATAAATAAATAAATTATTAAAAGTAAAATTTTTTCTTATAACTTTTTATATATCTAGTTTCTCAAAAATTTATGCATATATAATTTTATAAATTTTAAACAAATTTCTCAGATTTTTAATATATAGATAGAACATTTTTTACAAGTGTTGAAAAAGTCTATGTTTTCTTCTAGAATTCTTTATATTATATATAAATTCTAAAATGTTCTAAGATTTTTATAATTTCCAAAGAAAAGTTAAAAAATTTGAAGAAGTTTAAGGTACTTAGATGATCAGATATCTTTATAAATTTGAAATATGATAAATTTTTGAAAATAGAATATTTTTCATTAAGAAAACATTTTGAATTTCGATCGCGAACAAAAATATACCTAAATCCTAAACATGCGTTCTTATTCGCTTAGTGCGAGCTGATGTGAGCGATTGTGTTACTGAATGAGAAGTGTTCCATTGGAAGAGGGTTGCGATTTTACACATCGCATATTCCGCACATAACATCGCTAATTGGCTAACTTAACAGTGAAATATTCGCTGCGTTCAGCAGAACACAACAGTTTTGCAACCGTTTTATGATTCTCTGAGATAAGATCATTCCTCTTGATCTAAAAGCATAACCCAATCAGCGCGAAGAAAACTTCCAAGTTGCAAAATAAATATTCTGCTGAACGCAGCCATTATCATTGGTAAAGCAGTGAAAAATTACTAAGCATCAACTGGGGGCATCGATTCTGTATCTTCAAACAAGGTGAAAATTATCAAAATGAGCAAATTTACTAGATATTGACCGATGAAATTATTAGTATTCTAGTAAATTCGCTCATTTTTATAATTTTCACCTCGTTTCACACTTGCACACAGTTTAATTGCACACGCCACTCACATCGCTCTGTTCCTAGTAATTTTTCACTGCTTCAACATGAAAATGCACCTTTAGGACTGTTCTGAAGATTTCCCTTTTCCAGCCACATTGACTAGTGACATTCGTGAGGATAGAATCAGTCATGTCCCGTGTAGATGCCGGGCCCGTAAAAAGAAATGTTATGAATTTGGGCTACGTTCCAAAAGCTCCGTGAAAGATTTTATTCTATATGCTATAATATACGTTACGTGTATTATATATTTCGAGTAAAATTTTCCTCGGAGAGAAAGTTTTGGAACGTAGCCTTAATACAATATATTGTACAATATAAAGTTGCACTAGGGTATCTAGGGAAATTTACAAATGTATACTCGAATCAATCACGAGGGTGCTAGTCACATGACCTGTTGGCATCTCTTTTCTGTACGTGTGTGGTCACGTGATGGACTTATTCCGCGCATCTAATTCGCGCAGGCAGCACTTTTACGTAAGTAAAATGTAGGGAGTTAGCGTGTAATATATAGAAATCTGTGAGCGCAACCGTGCAGCCGAGTCGCCGCCATTTTGTTTATTTTCGCGAGACAGAGAGAGATCCGTGAACGACGATCGCGACGTACGGGATCGGCCCGCGCGTATTCGTTCGTGTTCGTCGAAATAAACGTCCGGCTTCACGAGCCGGAAGGTGAGAAATAATAAAATAGAGAAGAAAGGATCTGCTGCGAGTATAACGGTACAGATTTGCTCGTAGACGGAAGTTACAGCGAAGTCGATCGAGAATTAGAGAGTGAGTCCGATCGAGGAGAACCGTGGTGGCGACGACAACGAGCAGATTCGAGTGGAGAAAGAAAGAGAGAAAGAGAAAGGAAGAGTGAAAGGGGGAAAAGGAGCGAAAGAGAGAGAGAGAGAAAGAAGGAGAGGGAGCGAAAGAACGCGAAGTAAGTAACGGCGCGCAACATTGTCAACGTCGTCTGCGATCGTCGTCCTCGTATACAACGTCGTTACAATCATCGACGTAGTCCGGTAGTCGGTGAGATCGCGTCGTCGCTGAGCGCCGGTAAAGCGCACAGCGGAGCGGAAACAGTTTCACGGATCGGAATTTTGCGCGCGCGCGCGCGGCAGGGAGGAAGGGGGGGAGGTCGGTGCGCGAGGCGCCGCGCCGGAACGAGAGGCGAGACGGCCGTCGTCGACCGTCGTCGTCGTTGCCCGTCGCCGCCGCCACCACCACCAACCAACCAACTAACCAACCAACCATCACCGCCACCGCCGTTCCGAGCTCCGACTACGGACTAATACCATTAGCATCACCAACATCACCGCTGTTTCGTCACTAAGCTAGAGCACTACTAGCAGTGGCAGCAGTTACAACTACCACCTACCACAAACATCGTCACAAATCCGTTGCTATCGTCGCCACCACCGCGAAGATCGCACTGATCGCAGTTAATCGCAGTCGTGGCGACACTCGGAGCAACTCGGTGGCGCGTACGATTTACGAAGGGAATAGGGAATATAGAGTACGTGTACATCGGATAGTACGAGTACTCGAGTCGCATATTTAGCGATTTAATAATACGAGGGTGGAATATATGCTGTGGGCGTCCCCCGTACGAGTGGGGGCACTTGATGGCCGCAGAAATTGGGCGAACTGCGAGCAAACATCTATCGACGGAGTGCGGTAAAGCGACGTCGCTGTCGAGTAGCGACGTGGGCTTCGATAGTAGCCGGGTAATCGGTTCCGTTGGAACGGAACAGCGACAGCAGTTGCAACAATCGCAACAACGTCAATCGTCGCCACCGTCGCTGCAGCAACAACAGCAGCAACAACAGGATCGCACTGATCGGACTTCATTGGCTACGGTACAAATCCGAAAGGCGCTCGGTAAAACGACTCCTCCTCCACCTCCTTCTCCTCCTTCTTACCGGAATCGCGTACCGTTTGCGACCGCGCAGCTAACAGCAGAGAACAATCAGCAACAGCAGCAGCAGCAGCAGCAGCAGCCGCTGACCAACGCGAACAACGTAACCTCGACGGCGGAGGCCGTCACCGAGGTACCCGGCGCCATCAAAACGACCATCAACATCGGCTTCGCGATGAACCACGTAAACGATCAGGAGAATCTCAAGCAGCTCAGCCTCGCACCCATTCAGGTTAACGAGGTCGAAGAGATGGACACACAGGAGGGTGAGTGCACTTCTCCATCTATTTCTTCAATTCATCTATCTATCTTTTCATCTACACCCTATCTTTCTAGCTATTTTGCGCGCGCGCGCGCGCGCGTGTGTGTGGTGGCTGCAGCTATGTATATTATCTGTATGTATATGTACTTTTGTATACATATATCTATCTATCTCTATCTCTCTCTTTCTCATCTTGCCTTGCTGGGAAGTGCCAGAGCTTTCAATAAGGAAGGAGGAAGGAGGAAGGAAGGAGAGAGAGAGAGAGAGGGGGGGGGGAGCGCAAGGGAATATTTGTTATATATATGTGTGCGCGCGTACGTGGTATGTGCGTGAGAGAGAGAGGGGCGGGGGGGGGGGGGGGGGGGAGAGGGAAGAAGAGGCTCTTCTATGTCGGAGCTCTTCCCCAACTTTCTTTGAATTTTCTTTCCTTTTTTTCTCCCGATCGTAAGATCGTAAGCGCGTGTTTGCGAAATCGTTTTTATATTTAGAGGAAAGACATGGTGCAAGCTTTTTCATGCATCTACAGATTATTACACAGAATGATCTAGCAAACAATTTATTTATTTCGCGCGTTGCTTCTGCTAGCACGATGACTTGATATCGAGCATTCGTGATTGGCTTCCTATGATGTTAATTAGCGCCACTAGCGCTTGTGAAATTTTCATTTCACTTTAGACTTGTATTTACAAGAATATTTTGTATTATTGACATTGAATATTAGAAAATAATTACAAGTACATATTTATGTATGTATAAATGAAAAGATATGTGTTAGTTTTTTATAGATAAACATCTTTTTTTACAATTGTTGAAGAAGGTCGAACAAATCTTATAAAGTATAGTCTTTATAAAGTCGAACTGTGGTTCGCGTTAACAATGTCGTTAACCAAATTATATAATATTGTAATATTGTGTTATTCGACTTTCTTGAGCTTTTTTCATATTATTTTATCGAATATGAGAAGTAAAATATATTCCTTTTTGCGTGAGTAATGTGAAATATTATATTATATAAATAAATAAATAATACAACAAATTTTAAAAATAACGTGCATTGATGGCAAATTAAATATATCTGATTGTAGATAGATAATATAGAACGAGGCATTACGTCATAGTTCCATTATCAGAAATTTTCGTGGATATATAAATGTAATCACTGCTGATAAAGCTTATTGTACTATTGTATGGCTGCTGAACGGTTAATATTTGATCAACTTTTCCACAGTACATGTAAAAATTAGTGATAAATCAACGCACGCGCGTTCTGTATTTTTATATTATTTATATAATATTAAATTTAGAGTGAAAAAAACAGTGTACTTAGTGCTGCTGCGAAATGTGACTATCAATTTATAACTTTATAATGTTCAGTCGATGGTTAATTTGTTTGTTTTCTCTTTGTTTTCTTCCAACTCTATTATAATCATTATATTTGCCAAACGTTCCACATGAAGTGTTATTCTATACATTGTAATTTTTATATTTTTTTAGAAAAGATCTTTCAGAATTGTCATGTTGCTCTAGGTAAATTAATTGTTCCATATCAATATTAAATTATATTGCAGTTATTTGTACAAATATATGATATTTATATTATTAGTATATAATTTGATATATAAAAGTATGGTATACATATGTTGCAAATTGTTTAATTAATAAAATTATAAGCATTTATTATTTATCAAGTTTTTTCTGTGAAATATAAAGTTAAATTTTTATATTTATTATTTTGTATGTAAATCTTTTTCTATTTTAAAACGTTTAGGTTTATTCTACTGTTAAAAAGATAAATATTAACTTTTGTAGAAACCCCAAATGATGGTGGGGGAGACGGAACTGAGAACCGTCCTATAAATGGTGAACCAGAATTAGCATGTATAGTTCAGGATCAAGAAATGGAGGAAGGTATGATGAATTTGATGATGTTTTATATCATTTTGTTTGTTTAAATTATTTTAGAGATAATCTTGCAATATATAAAATTTATGCTTTTTAAATGATATTAATTTTGCTTTTGTCTGTTTGATATTAACTTTATATATTAATTATTTTTATTATATTTCATAAATTCTATGTTTTCTATATATTAGATGAGGCGCGATCAGAAGCTACTTTTCGATATTCTGTTGAAAATATATCTAAGATGAAGGATTCACAATTGTCCCCTGCATGTTATGTCCGTAATCTACCATGGAAAATAATGGTGATGCCACGGTCAAGTCAAACACAGGAGAGACAACCACAGAGATCTCTTGGATTTTTTCTTCAATGTAACGGAGAGAGTGAATCTACATCTTGGAGTTGTTACGCTGTTGCTGAATTGCGTCTTCTTTCTTGCAAGGAAGCACAAGAACCATTTAGCAGAAGTAAATAAGATTCCACTCTTTAATTTATTATATATTGATCGGCATTAGTTCTAATTTAAGAATGAAATTGACACATTTCTTTGCATTATAATGTGATATATTTTTATAGAAATTCAACACCTTTTCTACAGTAAAGAGAATGATTGGGGCTTTAGTCATTTTATGACATGGCAAGATGTTCTAGACCCTGATAGAGGTTTCATAAAAGACGATTCAATTACTCTTGAGGTTTGTAGCATATCTTTATTAACTTATGTTTTAAATAATACTAATTTTTTTCAATATTTCTCATTCTATTTAGTTTTATCTGTTATTTTAATTATTATATCAAAACAATATAATTTAACTATGATTCATTTGAAAGTTGTTTTATTTACTGAGAATAATTTGATGTGAATCAAAATGTTTTGAAAAAATATTGCAATTTAATACTTTTTTTTTTTTAACACTAACTTTGTATTTGGCTTATTGCCCTTTATTGATTTTGTTTTAAATTTTAATCTTCTGAACCATTTAGATATTTATTATTATAATTTATTCTACGATGAAATTTATAGCTATAATTATGTTTATATAATTTTTAAAGGTATTTACAAATATCTATATATTAAGGCTCCTGAATAGTCATATCTATATTGAATCGTCAGAAGCGAGAAATAACACGTTTTTATTTACATTTGTAAATAAAGACAATTTGGATAAAACAAAAAATTATAAGATTGCTTTAAAACAAATGTAAAAATAGATGAATTGTAATAATAGACGAAAGCTATCCTTTCTGACAGTAAGCAATCGTAAAAAGTGATAAAAGGCATATGAAGTACGAAAAAACTTTTATTCAATGCGCATGCATAGCCTATTTTCACTTATATGTGCCTTTTATCACTTTTTATGATTATTTATTGACTGTGGGATAGGCATAGTTTTTGTCTATTTTTACAAATGTTTTGCAAAAAAGCAATCTCATCATTTTATTTTATCCAAATTATTTTTATTTAATTATCTTTATTTAAATGGCATGCAATAAAAATTAACGCATCATTTCTCGCTTCTAATATCACGATTCAATATGGCTGTTGTGACTACTCAGGAGCCTTAAAATATTTCTGTAACAAAAATCATGTTAAACAGAATTTTGATAGAACTAATACAAGTGTCAAATATATAAATGACACTTAATTCATGGAGAACTAAGGAGCTAGGTTTTCTTTCATAATTTTTTGTTTTAAAATATTTGTTAAAATTTATAAAATTTTTAATTGATAAAAAAACGTGTTTGGTTTTGTAGAAATTTTTCTTAAAATTGAATGACATTTATATATGAAGGTTGTGAATTAATATTAAACAAACTTGTAATTCCATAAGATTCATATTGCATTTATGTTACAGTTTTATAATGTTTCGTTTAATTTAGGTTCATGTAGTGGCTGATGCACCTCATGGAGTTAGTTGGGACAGTAAAAAACACACGGGATATGTAGGCTTGAAAAATCAGGGTGCTACATGTTACATGAATTCTTTATTGCAAACTCTCTATTTTACAAATCAAGTAAGTGAAGGCATTTTTACGATATATAATAAATTATTATATATATCTGACGTTTCTTTTAATTTATCCGTGTTCTCTTTAGTTGCGGAAGGCAGTATACAAAATGCCAACAGAGAGCGACGATTCGAGTAAGAGTGTTGCACTAGCCTTACAAAGGGTGTTTCATGAATTACAGTTTTCCGACAAGCCTGTCGGTACAAAGAAATTAACTAAAAGTTTTGGATGGGAAACACTGGATTCTTTCATGCAACACGATGTGCAGGAATTTCTACGAGTGGTAAATATTTTGAACATTTTATTGCATGAATTTATATATACTTGAATTTTTAATATGTAACATTTATTGCATACATTTTTTGTATATATAGAATGTTCCATTTTAATTAAAACAATCAATTCTATAAAATTTTAGAGAAAAATATTTCAGACAAAAGTTATAAGGTTCGAAGGAGATCATAAGAGGATACCATTAGTTTGACCTTGAATGGGGCTACCAAGATTAGATCAAGGTCAAATCAATGATATCTTCTTATATTCCCCTTTTAACCTTACAACTTTGTCTGAAATATTTTTCTGTAAAATCTCGTGATTTTCAGAAATTGACTATTTTAATTAAAATGGGACATTTTATATATATGTATGTGTACATATTGAGCGCACATACATACACATACGTGCACATACATATATATAATTAATCGTGTGAAAATTTAGCTATTAGACAAGTTGGAGAGCAAAATGAAGGGAACATGCGTGGAAGGTACAGTGCCAAAATTGTTTGAAGGAAAAATGGTTTCTTTTATCAAGTGTAAAAATATAGACTACAAATCCACAAGGGTTGAAACATTTTATGATATACAGTTAAATATAAAGGGCAAGAAAAACAGTAAGTATAAAAATTAACATTAACAAAATTACATTATGTTTTTACCTATAATATTTGAGTAACAAAGAACTAATAAATTTTTTGTATTTCAGTTTACGAATCTTTTAGTGATTATGTGAGTACAGAAAGTCTTGATGGCGATAATAAATATGATGCAGGAGAACACGGATTACAGGAAGCAGAAAAAGGCGTTATCTTTTCATCGTTTCCACCAGTTTTACACCTACATTTAATGCGTTTTCAGTATGACCCAGTTACGGATTGTTCAGTCAAATTTAATGACAGGTAAGAAATTCAAATTCATTAACTTGCTTATTTTAGTTATAATGATCATATAAATGATTTTAATAAGTACAAAGGATATTAAAAGGGATCGTTCAAAAAAGTGTAACAAAAGGAATGTTTTTTTAATTTTTTTTTAAGCTTTGTGCGCGCGCGTGTGTGTGTGTGTGTGTGAGAGAGAGATCTCTTGGATATGGTAAAGTTATTAAAAAGTTCATAGTGTTTGGAACTATGAAAATTGAGTACGAACATGGTGCATTTATCCAAGTTTCAATATTTTTGCTTAATTAATCAATTTTCAAGATATTCCCCAAACACTACGAACTTTTTAATAATTATCATTTTCAAGAGATCAAAATCTACAAAAAACTATTTTCTTTACTTATATCTTTTTGATAAAAGTTTGCTCTAATTTTTTGGAAGTTGTTAGAAAAGAGCCAATTTTTTCTTAAAAAGAAGTGAAAGTTTTTTTTTGTTAATTTTAACCTTCGAGATATACGATAAACTATAAAATTATTAAAAAGTTTGTGAGGGGCATTTGGAGAATATCTCGAAAATTGAGCAAAAACATTGAAATTTGGATTCTATGTTCATGCTTAATTTTTTTTAAGTATTCCTTATTTGAATTTTTTATTAATTTTATATTCAGATTAAAGTTTATTTAAAAATACCACGTTTATTTGCATGTTTTTCCATCGAAGTTGGTCTTTTTCTAATATTCTTCTTTCTATAAAGATAAAAAATATAAATATTTTTGATTGTTTTTTTGACATATAAAAATATAGTTGTGAATTTATTTTTAAAGGTTTGAGTTTTATGAAAAAATTAGTCTTGGAAAATACCTGCAGAACAAAGAAACAACAAGTGCGGATTACACATTACACGCTGTTCTGGTTCATAGTGGCGATAATCATGGAGGACATTATGTTGTATTTATTAATCCCGCTGGCGATGGCAAAGTAAGCAAAAGATTTTATGTTTAAATTTAATGTTAACATCTATTATATAAGTTAAATATATTCACATATATGTATAAATATAATATTAGGTGTTGGAATTAATTCGTAGCGTTTTTAATGAAAGAATGTTATTTATTTCACATGAGCATTAAAAAATACATTAATGAAAGTACTTCCCATCACTTGTAAAACGCTACGAATTAATTCCAACACCTAATAATTATCGTAATCTATTTTTTTAATTGTAATCAAATTAGTTTATCCTCATTCATACATTTTTTGTGATATTTATTTTATGATAAAGATCAAGAAGAGTATATGATTGTAATTACTCAGAATAATCATGTATTATTTTTTTTATACATTTCAACAAAAATTATATGATTTAAATGTCTTATTATTATGTTACAACTTCCTGAAACTTTTCGATCTGTTCTGTGACAGTGGTGTAAGTTCGACGACGACGTTGTCTCACGATGTACAAAGCAGGAAGCTATTGAACATAACTACGGTGGTCAAGACGAGGACATGTCTATGGCTGTGAAACATTGCACTAACGCTTATATGTTGGTTTACATAAGAAATTCAGAGCTGGAAAACGTTTTGCAAGAGGTCAAGGAAGAGGACATACCTCAAGAGGTCAGAAACGTCCTTCAAAGAGAGTTTTCCCAGGAGTTGAGCGACCATGAACGTGACAAAGACGCGACTGACTCAATTAAAGACTCTCATACTGAGACGGCGACTCTTCGTCCGTACACTCAAAATCCTCGAAATCCAAATCTCTATATTCATGATTTTTAACCGACAAACGCCGATGGAGAAATAGGTGTAAGGAAGTGTAAATTGCTTACGTTGCTTCTCGATTAAACTCTTCCTGAAGTTTCAATGTTATATTGAGCTACTATGGGCTTGTTCATAGCATAGAAGTGTCAGACTCGCACATTACACATTGTAATTATATATACATACGATAAAAAAAGAATCGAGGCGATTTTCTGTCCTCGTTGCGATATTTTGGCTACCACATATTGATAGTTTAATTTTTGAGATTGTATATGTGTGTACAAATTAGAAGTTTTATTTAATGAAATATTCTATTATTGTACGTTTTTGAGCAGTTGTTATTAACTTTGTTTTGAATTTTCTTAACAGAGATTTACATTGATACTCAGCTTTGAGCTGCTGTACCGGTAAATGTTAACATTATATATAGATCATGTCTATTTCTAAATACAGTACTGCATTCAAAATAATGTAATACATGGTACAAACTATCTAGGTCCGATTTTTTGTTATTTGATTAACTTGTGATTTATATTTAACTACACTCAGTAATAAAATAAAAAATTGTGTTTTTTTTGGTATGATTAATTACTAAAATGGTTTTGTAATGATAATTTTTTTAAAAGTTCACTACAAAATTATCAATTTAATGATCAATCATAAATAGAAAAATACAATTTTTATCATCAGGTTAACTATCAAATGAAAAACCGGGCCTTAAACACGCATTATCAGAATTGATTTTTTTTGGTGGTGTTAAATTCACGTAAGCTTTGAAGTGAGAATGAGTCAGTTGATATCAGCCAAGATACAAAAGACGATGCATGTGATTGATCACGTGTATATTACAGATTATAGATTTGTATAATTCATGCTATATAGAGATTTGTTTTATTGACTAAGTCTTTTTGACAGAGGATTTTTTTTCAGTACGGGCGCTTGAGGCATATATAAGAATTATGTGATTTTTTTATTTATTCTTGTCTTAACTCATAATTTTATAACAATAACGCAAGAAATTAAAGAGAAAGATCCATAATTAATGTGCGTGTTGCATTTTTGTCACTTTTATCAAAAGTATCTATCCACAGAATTGGATAAAGTCTGATCGTCAGGCTAATATCGTGATGAGCCTTAGGATTATTTTGGAAATGTTTATTGTAACAAACATTGTATAATACTATATAACAAATTTAATCATTGTATTGTAGTTTATCGAAAACGTGAATGAAAAATGACAAACATATCTCAAGAAAGGATTGGATATGTGTGAATAATTATATAAGAGAATTAGGGAAAAAAAAACATTATTAGTGAGAATATACTAAGTATTGACTCGAGCTAACAAGTTCCGTTAGCGTTTGCAATACACATACGAGAAAGAGAAGTAATCGATAAGTAGTACTTGTGTCAGAAACATCAGCTTCCTTGAAATGTCTTCTTTAGCGTGTTTGCTATTTAACTGGATTGTTTAGTGAGTGAGACAATGTGATTTATATTACTCACCCTCGCAGTTTTCATCAATTAATATTTAAAGTTGATACACAATAATGAGTAAAGTAAGAACTTCATGTTTCAACAGAAGATGCAATCACTTAAGCAAGTCGTTAATTCATTAAATTCTCTCCATGTTAATAGTAATTATGATCATTGACAGATACTATCTATTTATTTGTTGTTATATATGAATAATTAGAGAGAGAGAGAGAGAGAGAGGGAGAGAAAATGAGAGAAAAAAGATGAAAGAACGCTAAAATATCATCGATAGAGTAAATACTTTATAATAGCTTTAATCGTGAGATACCTTTAAATGCTATATCATTATTTTATATATAAAAATAAAGAAAAAAAAAGAATAACGAATAAATTGTTGAATACTAGAAAATTTCACAGCCGGAAACCGCGTTAATTTTATTTATTTTTACCGCTATTCTTATCTATTTTACACGATTCAAATAATAGAGATATCCAAGTTATAAAGCATCTCCACACTACTATAGTTACACATTACATTGTTATAATTATTTGGCATGGGTGGTGGTTATAGCATTTTAATAAATAGGTATTTTATAGTTATATATGCGCATGTACAATGGTTAAGATACCTTGTCATGTTTTGCTAAAATTAATTATTTCTATATTCAGGCGATTATATTTATTTTGAACATTCTTGAGATGGTAACGCAATATATAATTAAAAGATTATTCTACGATTTATATATATCGTATTTATCCACCACACATATTTGTGTCACCAATTTATTACTAATAATGTATATTTACTTGTGTGCTTATATTTATTAGCCAGGAAGAGATAACTGGGAACCATCACTCACCGCCAAATAATTTTCATTGTGTAATTGTTTGACTTGGTAGTCGATATAGCGGCAGATGAACAAAATTAAAATTACAAAAATGGAAATTGTACCGTCATTCTTTTGATGTTTCGAATACGATCTGTTCTCGAATCTCAAAAGCATGATACTGAGAGAAATAATCTTTTTCTGAAAAGAAAAAGAGAATCAAATCACATAAATTAAAAAGACAGTTGAGGAAAAATGATTAATGAGAACAAAATGAGTACACACGTGGATAATTTTAATTTTGTTGGTCTAGCTGGTGGAGAGGCTGCAAGAGGAGAAGAGGCTGGAACAAATAAGAAGAAAGGAAAGAACGGAAGCATACTTGTACATGACCGTCAATGTCCTTCTCGAGGATAGCTTTGACGGTCACCAAGGGAATGATCTCTACGATCCAGAGCACGCTTTATATCGTGTATTTCGCGTACGTAAGCAGGCCACTGTGCACGAGTTTCTTGAGCTACTGAGCGATAGTCTGGTAAGTGATGTGCGCTATCTCTCTTGATATTTTTTTCCGAAACGCCATTTATATTATTTAAAAGACTGATTTTGTGCTTATATACATGTACATCATGATTTATTTATTAAGTAAATCGATACTGATGTAATATTTAGTACCATGTAATTTTACGTGCTATTGTGAGCTAAGCAGTGGTTTATTAGACTATTTTTATCACGGTAGGTAATAAAACTTGAAAAGATTACGTTGGTATTTTCCGTTTAAATATGTAAAAATAAGAAATAATATATATAGAGAAAATTTTATTTTTGAAATAATATTGCAAAATGGTATTTAATGATTTTGAACAATCCTTATTTCTAATTTTTCAGAATTTAAAAATGATATTAAATGCTATATTACTATTTTATATATAACAATAAAAAAGAATAATGAATTGTTATACTATAAAATTGTAAAGATATGACAACAAAAGAGATATTTAATATTATCAAATTTATTCTACAGAAATATCCAATAGAACAGATTCGTATTTGGCCCTTCAGTACACGTTCAAATCAAACCTGTAGACCTACGTTAATTGAGCCGGACGCTGATCTTCAAAAGCCCATCATCGACTGCGCGGAAAATCACAATCCGTGGAATGTTTTTGTTGAACTTGTACCTCCAGACTCTGACACGACAGCATTACCGCCTTTCGACAAGGACACTGATGTTTTACTCTTTTTTAAACTCTACGATCCCAAAAATAAGAAAATTCATTATTGTGGTCATCATTATATGCCTGTTGTAGCTAAAGTCCGTAAGTTGAAATTTTAATGTTTATTAATAATATAATTAATTAATATATAAAGATTATGCGTTTCGCGGGTTTTTTTCATGTCCAGATCCATTCTTGGAATGTCAACGTTTCGTGAACTTTGCAGTCCACTTCATTAAAACGAGCAGCAGCCTAATACTAAGTTGTTCCTCTGGCCTCGTTGCCATTCCAAGAATGGATCTAGACACGGAAGAAACCCGCGAAATGCATTATCTTTATATAGAAAGTACTCGTGGAAGCCTCAAGAATATTAATATAATATGTTTATTAATAATATAATCTCTAAGAATAGCGGAGATATTTTAAGTGAACAGAATTACTGCCTCACCTTGTATATTTTAAGTGTTATTCGAAAAAAATATGTGCAATATTTGATTTAAGTGTATACAGTTATTTTAAATATGTTTATTAATATCAATAATATTAAATTGTTTGTCAATTCGTGATATTACTCTGGCTTCAATTTAGGACTATGTCTCGAGACCAACGAATAATTGGCGTACAATTGCTTGAACTAAAAATTGTTTAAATTCACGCAAAAAATTAGGCATGAAGATTCGCCTTGATCGAATATGACGTTTTCCACTTATTTGTGTATATATAGTTAGTATTTTTTAAATAGAATGATAAAAAAATTTTTTATTATATATTGGTCACTTGAGTTGTTGTGTAGGTAGAAAAACAAAATATCTCAAATAAGAAAGTATTCATTAAAAAATAATTTAAAATTTGTTAAAATCGTCATATATCTAATTAAACAAAATGGCTTTCACTCGAATTTTTTTTTGTAAACCTTATTTTAAAAAGTAACTGACACTGAGTGTATACACTTAAACCAAACACACTGTACATATATCTGAAAATAAATTTCACAGAGGAGCTCATACCAATTTTAAACGAACGCGCCGGATTCCCACCAGACACAGAACTCGCTTTATATGAAGAAATTAAACCAAATTTAGTGGAGAAAATAGATAACTTATCGGAGCCTTTGGAAAAGGTTCTGGAGGAATTAATGGATGGTGATATCATTGTATTTCAAAAGGAAGGAGACAATGAAATGTACGAACTTCCAACGTGTCGAGAATATTTTAAGTAAGTAGTATACTACACTTTTATCCCTTATCGTTAATGTATCTCGAGAATGCGTCCTTGAATATTATTAGTACAATATAACATGCTCGCTAATCTATTGTGTTTACATTTTAGAGATCTATTCTATAGGGTAGAAGTAACATTTTGTGATAAATTGATTCCAAACGATCCAGGTTTTACAATGGAACTTTCATTGAGAATGACATATGATCAAATGGCAAAGGCTGTAGCGCAACGAGTCGGTACAGATCCGTACCTTTTACAATTCTTTAAATGTCAAAAGTAAGAATTAATGTTCCTACTTGTCTTTTAATACTGTTAATACTATATGTCAAAAATAATCGAATTATCTTCGATAAGATTTTGATTATTTCAAGATGTTTTAGAAAGAATTTTATTCTGAAATTTTGTTTACAGTTATAAAGATTCTCCCGGGCATCCTTTAAAATGTACATTCGACGGCACGCTCAAAGAACTGGTTGCGTACTGCAAAACGAAAGTAAAAAAATTATTTTATCAGCAGCTCAGTATTAGGGTGAACGAGCTCGAAAACAAGAAACAGTTCAAATGCATATGGGTAGGGCCATCGCTTAAAGAAGAGAAAGAAATGATTCTTTACCCAAATAAAAATGGTACCGTTGCTAATTTACTTGAGGAAGCTAAGAAGCAAGTAGAATTATCAGAAAATGGTTCAGGAAAATTAAGGATATTAGAAATGACTTGCAACAAACTATCACCTGGCCCTGGAGATGATACACCTTTAGATCACTTAAACACATCAGGCACCAAATTATATAGGATAGAAGAAATACCGCTTGACGAAGTAAATCTAGCGGAGGGTGAAATGCTAGTTCCTGTTGCACATTTTCACAAAGAGGTTTTCTCAACGTTCGGTATACCCTTCTTCTTCAAGATCAAGCATGTGAGTGATGTTTTATTCAAATTAATGCGTAATATAATACATGAATGCATCATTAATCCTTGTGTTTGTAGGGTGAACCTTTTCCCAAAATGAAGGATAGATTATTGAAGAAATTAGGGGTTCAGGAGAAAGAATTCGAAAAGGTAGGCATCCTTAGCTAATCTTTTTTGATCTTTTATGAGAATTCATAAAAAAACTTTGAAGTTTAAGTTCGCGGTGGTGACAATGGGCAAGCCGCAATTCATTATTGACTCGCCGGACTCTTGTATCAAAATCGAGGATTTCCTTCCCAGATACACCAGTCAGAGTAAGTATAAAGAAGCATTTACTTTAAAAATATATACTAGTAAAGCAAGCGTCGAATCGCATGATCACTATATTTAACATATGGTGTATTGCTGATACGATGCTAATAAAGAATAAATTTTGTAGTCTATCCACTTTTAAACGCAGGCACAGCGCCACACAGGCCTTGGCTTGGCCTGGAACACGTCAACAAAGCGCCGAAGCGCTCTCGTATCAACTACCTCGAAAAGGCCATTAAGATTTACAATTAAATTTCCACCACTCGAAGAAAAAATTAAATTAGGCAGCCACTCATAATAATTTATACGATTCTGTATAGTAAGAAAGCGACGTCTGGTATATTGAAGGTTGGAAAAATGCGTTCATATTCGTTTCTTCAGCCAGATTAAATATGCAATTTTAATACTGCAAGAATGACATCGAAAGGTAAATCTAAGATTGGTATACAATGGATTAAGAAGCTATCGTAAAGTGTGCAGTGCTATCATGGAAAAGCGATGCTATAGTTCCTCGATTCGAACTTGTAAAGATTTTACGTAATGGCCCAATAGCTTATTTTGGCTCAGTACGGATTTTCGCCTAGATTCCGAAAACATTTAATTACGAAATGCACGTATATTGTATCTAATATTATTGTCTGATAATTATCTCTAATAAACTAATTTCTTTCTTTTTTTTAATTTTATTAGGAAAGTGAGAGTTTAAAATTCCGGTTCATACCCTATCGTATATAGAAGTACATAATCGTTACATCCCAAGAGAGATAACATATTATATTCTGCATGATTAATATTTAATATTCGTGACGCTAAGAAAGAATCGTTCCTTTTTTATGTTGTATTCGCAAGATGTTTGAGAGAAAGATGTAGATTTTCTATTTAAAAAAAGAATAAAATTTTTAATTTCCATTGAAGATATTATTCGAATTTTAATATTTATCAAGTTTATTTAATTTAATTCGAAATGCACATCACAAATTTCTCTCAAATTTCTTCATGTTTTCAAACAAAGCACATAAAATTATGCCACTATTTTATTTTACGTCACACTATTTAAAAAATGGAGAAGAAAATGCACGAACAAAATTTCTAAGTTGTCTTTCAAACATCTTGGAATATTTTTTTGCATTTGTATTTTATGTTATTTTCTATAATATGTTTTCATCTAAAACTACCAATTTTGCAAGTAACAGCGTACAAAGTAAGAAATTGACAAAATGAATGACACTTAATCTAAACGAAAAGAAATTCTTGGCGAGATGCAAACGCCTATCGATGTAATATGGATGTTCGCGGCTTTTCTTTCTTTTTTTTTTTGTTATTTTAGAGCAAAGTGAGCAATATTGCTGCTTTTAGGAAGTGACGTAGGAAGTAACGATTCAGTTAATAAATCATCATAGTTTTCTCTATTTGATTATATAAATTAATGATTTAATTCTCTATCTTCTGTTTATAATTTGTAACACAAGTATCTCGTGTGATGAATCAACAAGGTAACCTGCGTCTCGTGCAAGATCTGTCGTTTGCGGATCCTTATTTATCATTTCTACACTTTACTGTGATCAACTTGACTTAGCCAACATGTATTTAAAGATCACGCCGGCTCTCGAATATTTGAAATAGCATAATTGTAAATGTCAAGGAGAATGTGTGAGCTTTTTACATTATTTAATAAATTTCTTTTTAAGTTGAGGAACTGTTTACTGTGATCGTAAGATTATAATGAGATCCGTCAAATTCCATAAATTTAAACGTAATTAGTTTAAATTATTTTGAATATCTAAAAATTATTGAATTACAGACTACGAGAACATCGCAAGAGAATCATTTCGAGGGGATACGAAAGCAAAATTCGCAGTAAGAGAATGGTATATAGTATATCAATATAATATATAAACGTGAATTATCTGTTAAGATTAATAGAGTTGTGTTGGAAGTAATGACCCGTTGTCTGATCGACTAATAAGAATATAATTGAAAGAAATGGTTTTTGAAGAAGACTGGACGCATAAGTTAAGCGAGAGCACGCAGAATATTTTGTAAAAAAGAATTTTAATGTGGCTGTACAGACTGATTGGTAGCGTTATTTAATTAATCATAATCTCAATATTGTGTATCTAAAGAAAGCTGTTCCAAATAACGTTTTGTGGGTGTCAAGTGTTTCCTTTTTTACTACTTTTATATATAGGGTGTCCGGTTTTGATAAAACGCTTATGAGCATCTTACCTACAGTCACAGCGTCAGTTACAGCGGACTAAACTGAGTCTTCTACCATTTTGTAATTTTTGCAATAGTTAAATGCCCTACGAACCGGCATTAGATTTTCCGCCACGCCAGCCCCTATGAATCAGCGCTCAACTTTTTAGGCTCCATCGCGCCGGTCCCTACCGAGAATGAACATTTCGTTTAGGCGACGTCAGTCCTTGAGAAATTTAAAGTAATAAATGGAAAATATAAAACTTTATCAAAAATTAATGTAATTTATTAAAACAATTTAAATAAAGATGGGGTTTCCTTTACAGGTATTACAAAAAGTTACAACTTTTTTGATAAAATTTTTCATCATTTTCCACTCAAACATTTTTTAATTAATTTTGTAACATTCTATGCTGTAGCCATCGCGACCTTTGTTCCTCGTTATTTTTTGTTTACTTCAGCTCGCACCTCTTCAGTTGCCTAGATGGTATTGTGTGATAAACGGAAAATGAAACAAAATAGACTCGGCACTTAATGTGTTAACGATGCCGAATAAGGATAAAATCGACGCATAAGACAATTTTAAGATATTTTCAAAATTCTTTATCGACATATTTTAAAGATATTTCATAAAGAACTCTTAAAGATATTTTAAAATTGCTTTATGTATCGATTGTAGACATTCTGCTCCCTGGTTAATTAAAAAAAGAATTGCGAAAATTATAAAATAGTATAGGACTTTTCGACTCAGTTTAGTCTGCTCTACCTGCCCACGAAGCTTTGTCAAAACTTATCGAACATCCTATGTACACACACACACATACCACACACATGCACGCACGCACATTAACATGGATCTATTCAGAATAATTTAGCGGTATGCTTGTTAAGTGTGTGTCAAGGTGGATGCGAAAAAGAAAGAGAGGAACTGTATGTGTGCATAAATTGTGTACGTGTCATAAATTTCAAATTGAATTAAGTAAAGAGCAGATCATCACAGATCTTACTAAAGGGATATTTCCCACAAACATAATTGAGATACAAGTAATCTCTGTATACTAAAGGTTGATGTTCACAATATCGTTACATTATAACCGCGTTCTGACTATGTTTTTCTTTAGCGCGCTATTCTTTTTAGGCGAAAGGGATTAATCGCTTTACAAAGGATCTGTCGAATCGCAATTGGAAAGTATACGCTAACGATAGATCTCTCACAGTGGAAGTGGTGATAATGTTTTATCTGCGAGAAAAAAATAAAATGCTAGGCGAAATTCTTGTAAACGTGAACGTATGAATCATGCATTTTATTGTTCAAATTATTATTTACATATATATCTATACACACACACACACACATATGTATGTGTATATATATATATATATATATATATATATTTGTGTGCATGTGTGTGTGTGTGTGTGTATGCGTGCGTGCATGTTTCATTAGGTTCCTCTGAGATTATTGCTAACGGCTATCCTGAAATTGAAGCTGGCACACGAGACAACAGTCGCCAACAAAGGAGTACACTTCTTTATGGAAAAGAAAGAAGAGAAATCATGTTAGATCTATCTAAATGAGAAGTGGCACGAGAGGAAGAAAAGCCGGGACAATCCAGCATATGACCGCTATATAATAATAGGTTGTACACCAGATACTTTGCGTTTTATAGAGCTGATCTTATAAAGAAAACTGCTCAACACTGCGATTGTAAATCTGAATATTTGATAGTTCATTTCTAAGGAGGCGAAACTAATTAAATGCGATACAGGTATACATAAAGGAGAATAATAATAAAAAGCAATACAATTGAACATGTCATTATTTTTCAATAACACGTCATTGTTTCTTAGCAAGAAGAGATCTTTGATAAAAACTTCGTTTATGTCTTATTATTGTCGATTATAGATAGTACATTAATCATGAAGAAAACACGAAAAAATAGTTTGAACGTAATAATATGGCTATAAAAATGTGTATATAAAAATAAAAAAAAGGAGTTAAGACTCTTGCCATATTGAATCGTGATATCATCAAAAGGATGAAGAAATGACGCGTTAATTTTTATTACGTGGTAAATAAAAACAATTTGGATAAAATGAAATGACGAAATCTCTTTAAACCAATATAAAAATGGACGAAAGCTATCTTTATCTCCTCCCCTCCCTCCCACCCCTATGACAGTTAGTAAATAATCATAAAAAGTGATAAAAGGCACGTATAAGTGAAAACAAGCTAGGCATGCGCATTGCATAAAAGCACTTCACGTACCTTTTATCACTTTTTACGATTATTTACTGACTGTCAAGGGAATAAACATAGTTTTCGTCCATTTTTATAATTATTTTAATACGATTTCATCATTTTGTTTTATCCAAATTATCTTTACTTACAAATGGGACGTAATAAAAATTAATGTGACTCAGGAGCCTTAAGTGTATATGATATCGGAATAAAAAGAGCAACACCACATCCTTATAATCACGTGCTTTGCGGATGTAGATTAAATGTTTGAAATCTAATTTTTACATTCAATTAGTAGGCGTTTACTCTAAAAAAGCACAACATACGCACACAAGCGTATCATTTAAGGTGACTTTCGCCTACATTACATTGGAATTTTCTTACGGCCGATCAACTTCCTTTCGCTTGTATCGCAAGTATCACGTTGTCATGCTGGTTCGCGATATAAATAACAGATTAAGAAATTATTATTAAAAGTTGCATAACAACGTGCATCGTGCGTCAGTGATTAGAAAAGTTGATGTTTTACTCGCCACCCGTTTTTAATTTTCAGATTTATAAAGATTATTTGCAGCTTATTTCCAGTTAAATTGTATAACTGCATATGAAAAATCATCTTCAGTATTTAAACACAATATAAAGAATACTTTTTCAAATATTAGATTATCTATAGAAGAGCGTAATTAAATCACAACTAATAATATTGAACAAAGAAAGAAACGTTAAAATTGATATCAAAAAAGATTTTTTATATATTTATATCCTATATTTTATTTAGGTTATTTAAGATTTTGTGAACAATTAACGATAACGTAGTAGAGTAACCAAATTGTATAGGCAAATCCTAGTGAAAATTTTTCTTAGAATTTTTCGTAAATATACATAAATATAAATTTTCCAAACTTTTACGTAAATTTCTGTATAACATTAACTTAATTTACAGAAAATTTATCAAATTCTTTCATACGAATTTTGAGTCACTTTTTGGAAATACGGAGAAAGTGTATGTTTTTTTGTAGAATTCTTCATATATTATATATATAAATTCCGAAATTCTAAGATTTTGAAGATTGTTTATTCTATAATTTTCGAGAAGGAATTTACAAAATCTAAAGAAATTTAATGGATATTTTTTTCAGAAGTCTTCATCAATTTAAAATATAATAAATTCTTAAAATTAAAATAATTTTTAAAAATAAAATGAAATTTTTTCACCAGTGCATCACAAAAGTCATTTTATCAAAAATTAAGATGTTTATTTCACTTCTTTTTGAACAAGAATTAGGATATAAAAATGAGGAA